TGATTACACTGTATATATATATATATAAATATATATATATATATATATATATATATATATATATATATATATATATATATATATATATATATATATATATATATATATATATATATATATATATATAATATATGTCGTGCCGAATAGGCAGTACTTGCGATCTTGGCTTAAATAGCAACGCTCATCTTGCCATATAGGACAAGTGAAAATTTGTGTATGCAATAATTTCGCCAAAATCATTCTGAACTTAACGAAAACAATATATTTCATTGTGCTTGTTTAGTATTAAATTATTGTAAACGTATCTAAAATATATTTAGATGGGTTAGGCCAAAATAAATTGTTCTTGTTATAATAAGGTTAGGTAAGTTTTCTAAGATTCGTTTGGTGCAAAATTAAAAAAAAAATTACATTAACATTAATGAAAAATATATATCTTTAAACGTATAAGAGAAAATTTTAGAAAGGACTGTTCACTATACTGTTTGTCTAGTACCACGTATGACCTCACCGGATATTATTAACATTCTTAAGTTAAAATAACTTACATACTCCCGTGAGTTAGGTGACCGTACAATTCATCACGTCCATATGTTGGTGAAGTGCTCTTGATCCAATGCATCGACACCATGCCTAACCCTTCTAGGGTAGGGTAGGTGCCTGAGCCCGAGCCTTTAGCTCATAAGACTGTCATTCCCATTTGCCCCCTTGTGGCGGGGATGGCAGACCAGAGAGGCCTTGCTTATGACTAGGCCTGGGGACAGTTGGTCCCAAAGATGAGGAGGTACTTGTGCCTCCTCCCATGGGAGACTTAGGTCTCAGACACTCCCTAAAGAGGGAGCCAAAGCCGGGCCACCACTTGGGAAAAGCCCGGGCCGGGAGAATACCGGCGAATCTTTAATAATAATAATAATAATTGATCCAATGAAATAGAATTACAATCACATTCCCCTATGGGCTTAGCCTTTATTCTATGATAATCAGATCATAAGTCACCTACTTAGTCATCCTATATACTAATTTCACCACACATGAGCTGATAAATAAAGCCTAACATATTTCCTGTTTATCCAGAGAAAAGTCTGCTCTTCCTGTGGGGATACTTACTCCCCAAAATACTTAGTATAAATTAATGATAATCTAACCAATCAAGCCTAACTTAAGCTGGTCACTATTTAACCGAACCTAATAACATAACATGAATAACGTTTACAGATAAATTTAAAGAAAATGTCATGTGAAAACTAATGATCCAGTTATGATGTCATAAGTCCATATGTTACTTAGGTCTGGAAGAAGTTCTAATATGTTACTTAGGTCTGGAAGAAGTTCTAATATGTTACTTAGGTCTGGAAGAAGTTTTAATATGTTACTTAGGTCTGGAAGAAGTCTAATATGTTACTTAGGTCTGGAAGAAGTCTAATATGTTACTTAGGTCTGGAAGAAGTTCTAATATGTTACTTAGGTCTGGAAGAAGTTCTAATATGTTACTTAGGTCTGGAAGAAGTTCTAATATGTTACTTAGGTCTGGAAGAAGTTCTAATATGTTACTTAGGTCTGGAAGAAGTTCTAATATGTTACTTAGGTCTGGAAGAAGTTCTAATATGTTACTTAGGTCTGGAAGAAGTTCTAATATGTTACTTAGGTCTGGAAGAAGTTCTATGTTACTTAGGTCTGGAAGAAGTTCTAATATGTTACTTAGGTCTGGAAGAAGTTCTAATATGTTACTTAGGTCTGGAAGAAGTTCTAATATGTTACTTAGGTCTGGAAGAAGTTCTAATATGTTACTTAGGTCTGGAAGAAGTGCTAATATGTTACTTAGGTCTGGAAGAAGTTCTAATATGTTACTTAGGTCTGGAAGAAGTTCTAATATGTTACTTAGGTCTGGAAGAAGTTCTAATATGTTACTTAGGTCTGGAAGAAGTTCTAATATGTTACTTAGGTCTGGAAGAAGTGCTAATATGTTACTTAGGTCTGGAAGAAGTTCTAATATGTTACTTAGGTCTGGAAGAAGTTCTAATATGTTACTTAGGTCTGGAAGAAGTTCTAATATGTTACTTAGGTCTGGAAGAAGTGTCTAATATGTTACTTAGGTCTGGAAGAAGTTCTAATATGTTACTTAGGTCTGGAAGAAGTGCTAATATGTTACTTAGGTCTGGAAGAAGTTCTAATATGTTACTTAGGTCTGGAAGAAGTGCTAATATGTTACTTAGGTCTGGAAGAAGTTCTAATATGTTACTTAGGTCTGGAAGAAGTTCTAATATGTTACTTAGGTCTGGAAGAAGTTCTAATATGTTACTTAGGTCTGGAAGAAGTTCTAAAATGTTACTTAGGTCTGGAAGAAGTTCTAATATGTTACTTAGGTCTGGAAGAAGTTCTAATATGTTACTTAGGTCTGGAAGAAGTCTAATGTTACTTAGGTCTGGAAGAAGTTCTAATATGTTACTTAGTCTGGAAGAAGTTCTAATATGTTACTTAGGTCTGAAGAAGTTCTAATATGTTACTTAGGTCTGGAAGAAGTTCTAATATGTTACTTAGGGGAAAGTAATAGTTACTTAGGTCTGGAAGAAGTTCTAATATGTTACTTAGGTCTGGAAGAAGTGCTAATATGTTACTTAGGTCTGGAAGAAGTTCTAATATGTTACTTAGGTCTGGAAGAAGTTCTAATATGTTACTTAGGTCTGGAAGAAGTGCTAATATGTTACTTAGGTCTGGAAGAAGTTCAATATGTTACTTAGATCTGGAAGAAGTTCTAATATGTTACTTAGGTCTGGAAGAAGTTCTAATTATGTTACTTAGTCTGGAAGAAGTTCTAATTGTTACTTAGGTCTGGAAGAAGTTCTAATATGTTACTTAGGTCTGGAAGAAGTTCTATGTTACTTAGGTCTGGAAGAAGTTCTAATATGTTACTTAGGTCTGGAAGAAGTTCTATATGTTACTTAGGTTCTGGAAGAATTCTAATAGTTACTTAGGTCTGGAAGAAGTTCTAATATGTACTTAGTCTGGAAGAAGTTCTAATATGTTACTTAGGTCTGGAAGAAGTCTAATTGTTACTTAGTCTGGAAGAAGTTCTAATATGTTACTTAGGTCTGGAAGAAGTTTGTAATATGTTACTTAGGTCTGGAAGAAGTTCTAATATGTTACTTAGTCTGGAAGTAGTTCTAATATGTTACTTAGGTCTGAAGAAGTTGCTAATATGTTACTTAGGTCTGGAAGAAGTTCTATGTTACTTAGGTCTGGAAGAAGTTCTAATATGTTACTTAGGTCTGGAAGAAGTTCTAATATGCTACTTAGGTCTGGAAGAAGTGCTAATATTTACTTAGGTCTGGAAGAAGTTCTAATAGTTACTTAGTCTGGAAGAAGTTCTAATATGTTACTTAGGTCTGAAGAAGTTCATATGTTACTTAGACTGGAAGAATTCTAATGTGTTACTTAGGTCTGGAAGAACTTCTAATATGTTACTTAGGTCTGGAAGAAGTTCTAATATGTTACTTAGGATCGGAAGAAGTCTAATATGTTACTTAGGTCTGGAAGAAGTTCTAATATGTTACTTAGGTCTGGAAGAAGTTCTAATATGTTACTTAGGTCTGGAAGAACTTCTAATATGTTACTTAGGTCTGGAAGAAGTGCTGATATGTTCTTAGATCTGGAAAAAGTTCTAATATGTTACTTAGGTCTGGAAGAAGTGCTAATATGTTACTTAGGTCTGGAAAAGTCTAATATGTTACTTAGGTCTGGAAGAAGTTCTAATATGTTACTTAGGTCTGGAAGAAGTTCTAATATGTTACTTAGGTCTGGAAGAAGTGTTAATATGTTACTTAGGTCTGGAAGAAGTTCTAATATGTTACTTAGGTCTGGAAGAAGTTCTAATATGTTACTTAGGTCTGGAAGTAGTTTTAATATGTTACTTAGGTCTGGAAGAAGTGCTAATATGTTACTTAGGTCTGGAAGAAGTTCTAATATGTTACTTAGGTCTGGAAGAAGATCTAATATGTTACTTAGGTCTGGAAGAAGTGCTGATATGTTACTTAGGTCTGGAAGAAGTTCTAATATGTTAGTTAGGTCTGGAAGAACTTCTAATATGTTACTTAGGTCTGGAAGAAGTTCTAATATGTTACTTAGGTCTGGAAGAACCTCTAATATGTTACTTAGGTCTGGAAGAAGTTCTAATATGTTACTTAGATCTGGAAGAAGTTCTAATATGTTACTTAGGTCTGGAAGAAGTTCTAATATGTTACTTAGGTCTGGAAGAAGTTCTAATATGTTACTTAGGTCTGGAAGAAGTGATAATATGTTACTTAGGCCTGGAAGAAGTTCTAATATGTTACTTAGGTCTGGAAGAAGTTCTAATATGTTACTTAAGATCGGAAGAAGTTCTAATATGTTACTTAGGTTGGTAAAGAAGTTCTAATTATGTTACTTAGGTCTGGACAGAAGTTCTTAAGTATGTTATTAGGTTGGAAGAAAGTTATAATATGTTACTTAGATTCTGGAAAGTTTAATTTTACTTAGGTCTGGAAGAGTTCTAATTTGTTACTAGATCTGGAGAAGATTCTAATATCGTTACTTAGGTCTGGAAGAAGTTCTAATTGGGTTACTATGAGGCCTGGAAGAAGTTCTAATATGTTACTTAGGCCTGGAAGAAGTTCTAATATGTTACTTAGGCCTGGAAGAAGTGCTGATATATTTTAATTCATAAGTATTTTGAAATTCATAATTACATGAGCAAGTAACAAAATGAAACTACTGAGGATGGTTTGTGTAACAGTGTGTTCTTCACCAGGAAGTTTGTGTAACAGTATGTTTTTCACCAGGAAGTTTGTGTAACAGTTTGTTTTTCACCAGGAAGTTTGTGTAACAGTATGTTTTTCACCAGGAAGTTTGTGTAACAGTGTGTTCTTCACCAGGAAGTTTGTGTAACAGTATGTTTTTCACCAGGAAGTTTGTGTAACTGTATGTTTTTCACCAGGAAGTTTGTGTAACGGTATGTTTTTCACCAGGGAGTTCGTGGATATCGAGGCTGGAGACTCAACACTTCTAGGAGGGATCGGGGAGGAGACAGACGCCCAAGGAGCCGATGGAGACTTGGCAGTGGTGACAAATGGTGGCCAGACGTATCAACTCTACCTTCTACGATGACTCTCCCAGGAGCTCCGAGGATTCTCACAATGCCGAGCGCTTTGACACCATGGCCAGAAACTCCATGACTTCCCTACAACAACGCCGACAGTCCACTTCCTCAGCCTTCACCACCGAGCCTCTTACAGCCACAACCAATGACCGTAACTGGTCGTGGCGGTACCTCAGGGTCAGTATATACCGCTACATCAGAGTCAGTACATACCACTGTGGCACCACTACATCAGGGTCAGTATATAACACTGTGGAACTACTACCTCAGGATCGGTATATACCACTGTCAGTATATGCTACTACCTCAGGGTCAGTATATACTACTGTGGCACCACTACCTCAGGAGTCAGCATATACCATTGTGGAACCACTACCTCAGGGTCAGTATATACCACTGTCAGTATATACCACTACCTCATGGTCAGTATATACCACTGTCAGTATATACCACTACCTCAGGGTCAGTGTATACTACGGTACCACCACTACCTCAGGGTCAGTATATACCACTGTGGAACCATTACCTCAGGGTCAGTATATACCACTGTGGCACCACTACCTCAGGGCCAGTATATACCACTGTGGAACCACTACCTCAGGGTCAGTAAATATCACTGTGGAACCATTACCTCAGATTCAGTGTATACCACTGTGGAACCACTACCTCAGGGTCAGTGTACACCACTGTGGAACTACTACCTCAGGGTCAATAAATACCACTGTGGAATCACTACCTCAGGGTCAGTGTATACCACTGTGGAACCACTACCTCAGGGTCAGTGTACACCACTGTGGCATCACTTCCTCAGCTTCAGTATATACCATTATGGCACCACTACTTCAGGGTCAGAAATAACACTGTGGCACCACTACCTCAGGGTCAGTATATACCAATGTGGCACCGCTACCTCAGAGTCAGAAATAACACTGTGGCACCACTACTCCAGGGTCAGAAATAACACTGTGGCACCACTACCTGATGGTCAGAAATAACACTGTGGCACCACTACTCCAGGGTCAGAAATAACACTGTGGAACCACTTCCTCAGCGGTCGGTATATATCAATGTAGCACTATTTTAGGGCCAATGGATAACCTTGGTACAGTCTCAAGGTTTTCATACATAAGCCTGACACTATCCCAAGGTCAGTATACATAAATTGACCACTGTATCAAAATCAGTAGTATCACCGAAATGGCGCCTTCACAAGGAATATATTAAGCTAAATTTACGGGATATTTTTTGGTATTCTAATTATTAATTTTGCATTATAACTAAACAAGCAGGTAACCTAACTTTGCGGAAACTGACGAAAATGATAAATATCACAATTTACCTTACCTATCAGAGACTGCATAGCCGTAATTAACGGTATTCCAGAGAGGGAGGGGATAGAAATTTTCGTGTGAGTTCCATGTATGTTATCATTGTTGTGATTATCATTATGTGAAATGTTAAACCATGTGAGTCATTCAAGGTAAGACACAGTGAAGGCTCGACCCTATGTCTGCTAAGCAGGAAGCAGAAGCTCTTACTAATTGTATTTACTTAACATTAGTAAACATAGGAAAGCCATCAACGCATTGCCTTTTTTTCTTAGAGTTGATGCCAAGAAAAATGTAGTCTTTATCTCTGTTAGGCTCATTAAGGCCACAGCCAGAGTAAAGACAACTTTGATGACTGGCGGACACTCGTTATAAAGCTTCGCTCCTTGTAGACCTTTATAATTTTCTTTTTTTGTTTACGTATCTTTTGGATTAATATATGTTTGCTTCCTGTCTTTCATGCGATAACTGGTGTTCTGTCTCGTCTTCAGGAAAGGTTCAGAATCAAGGAACTTGAAGACTTATTCGAGCAGTACCAACAGCGGCTGCACCACGCCATGTTCATCGTTTACCTCTTCCTTCAGCTCACCATTTCATGTGTGTTCATCACGGCGTTGTTCAGCAGCCAG